GAGATAAAAACAAAAAAAAAAAACGAAAATAGCAAAGAATCGAGAGTGAAGCTTACCAACAAATTCGCAGGTGCTCGCACACAAAAAATAACTTTCAAATGCTCACAAAGATCAACAACGAGGAAGCAGTTTGCAAAAATTAGAAGACGAAAGCAAAGGCAGAAAAATCTAATTGCATTTCTCTGGAGCGTATTTATACGCTGCGATTTTCGACCGTTAGGGTTCTTAATTAGGGGCTCGTGTAACCGACGCGACCCCTAATCTCAAGCGACGCAACGTTTCCGTCTGACAGGCCCTACGACATATGTGTCACCCTATACATACAACCGTTACTTATTGTTATTACGGCGCAACTCTTCGCACGTCACATTTAATACCCGACCGTTACATCCCTTTAAGTCTTTTCAAGCACTACCAGGACAATTCATCTGAATTTTTACAAGTGTCCTCACTTCGGAATCCATTACTCACTTCAGTTATTGCCTCATAGAATAGCACCTCGGTAAAAAACGTGCTCGGCCTGCCGCGTATTACCAGCTCGGAGCTCTCCTTTATTATACGGTGTCAACGACCATCACTATCGTATGTTCGCCGACACCGGGGGCCTCTCTGTTATCGTCCGATCCGGTAATCCGAAGTTACTCATCCGAAATCACGTGTTAGACGGATTGTTATTGGCACCGACCTGAACCCTGATCGTCCCGATTTATATGACAAACCGAACTCGGACCGACATGAAGAAAACTGACTTTTTCTATAGAAACCGAAGTCACCACGAACCGAGGTCGCCATCCTCATAGCAGGTGACAAGGCGCATACACGACGCATCCTCACACCACAAGAAATCTCATTATGTACGTGGGTCCCGCTCACATGGCCGCCCACCAAAAAGCCACTTTACGAAAAATCTACCGTACACCTCGAGATGCGAGCTCAAAAAGATACTATAAATAGCATATTGTTATACTTGTACGAAGATCGCTCTCTGAACATTCAACATATATATAACAAAGAGCCCAACATCTTTCACCTCGGTTCACCTCGGACCGGGGCCATCGTTCGTGTTTTTAATGCATGTTTTATGTCTAATCTCTTTCCAAACCCC